GGGTTATTTATCCAAAATTCACAAAGGAATTCTGATCTACTATTGAGGACAGATCCTGGCAGGAATCACACTCTAGAAACATAAAACTTTATCAGGCAGATATCTCCCAAGTCTAGTAAATGTAAGATTTTCTTTGAAATGTGAATCTCTTCTACGTGCAGCAAGATATTCAGCTTACTACTTGAAGCCCACTTTAAAAAGAGTAGATACTCCAAAAACAGAGTGAAAATCAACTTTACTTCAGGTACATTGAGAGAAGCATTGCAGGTTAGCTGGGAAAAATTAAGTTTTTCTACATGTTTAAATTAACAATACAAAGAAGTTGAGAATTATGCATTTAGGATATTACTTCTCTTCTTGGACACTAATCCTGGAATCTTGCAACTGTTCTGTTTTTTCCCCACAGATATTTAGACAATGTAGTTAACAGACAGAGCGTCTCTCCTCCTATTCCCCACTTGCATGCCTTACTGACGAGTGGAGATGAACCGCCACTTGAAATCGACATCTTCGAACTCATCAAAACATCCTATGAGGTCAGGTTTTGGCTTAGTTTTTGCCAAAGAGATTTTTCTTTACTAACACCCAGTTTTACACTTCGTGCAGCCTGAATATGAATATTGTTCATAGCTTGAGGTGCTCAAGGAGTGCAGACCCAAGCCATTAATCCTCCTATTTCGTATGCGAAGAGCCTAACACTGTTGGCTACTGTTGATTACAGTCTCCCCATCACCAGCGCAGACTAAAACGAAGACTGCAAATAAGTAAAAATTACAGCCCGGAGATTTCTTCCTGCTTTGCCAAAAAAGTCTCCGTTCTTATTTGTGTGTGAGGATTGTCAGTGCTAGGGAGTTGGGGAGGGAAATTCAGGGTAAAAAATGTGAGGTCTACTGCAGAAACATGTAAGCATCCCAGTTCATGTGCACAGGAATCCTTTTCTGGGATCCACATCATAGTAATAGGAAGGTGACCTGAGAATGGTGCCAGTGCTGTTAAAATACCTTTGCACTGGTGGAGTTGTACCTCATTATTCGTACCGAGAACAACCTCTTAAGAAATTTGTATCTGAATAATGGAAAGAACACAGTCAAAAGATTTGGTGTTTGATAGCTCTTCTCTGCTATGCTGTGGTAAACGTGGATTCATTTCCCTTTTTACCTCTTGTTCATCCTGTCCCCTTCCAGCTGCTTACAGTCAGGCAGCTATCATTTAGCTAGGTATTTCGTTTGTTTCCTCAAATCTGTCATCTCTGTTTGCTCTTGATTTCTTTTTTAAGAGACCATCACCAAATTCATCTTACTTGTCTGACCTAGTCAGTAGACAAGCCTGTTAACGTTGGCCTTTCTAGCTGAATCTCATATGGGTCCTAGAAAAAAACAGGGCTGCTAGGAATGACAACCTGTCTGTTGTCTTTTCTCTGCCACAGTACAGGGTCTGTGTTTCTGTCAGTCCTGACAGATGCTTTTTTGACTGTTCTTTAGAAACATCTGATGTTGGATTTCTCATGAATTCCAAATAACTTCTCTGGCAGGACAGGGGTGAATAGGGAATAGAGCTCGAGTTTTTTCTTGCTGCTGGTAAAAGGCTTCTAGGGGTTTTACATCATCTCTGAGGGGATAGTGTACTTGTTAAAGAATATGTAATTGAACAGAGGTTTTTCTTTCTTTAGGAGATGATGTTGACCTGGTCTTCTTCCTTTCTTGTAGAAATTCAGCAATCTGAAGGCAGATGACATTGAACAAATGCGTTTTAAACAAAGGCTGAAAGTGATCCAGTCTCTCGAGGATACAGCCAAGAAGAGCGTGGTATGTGAATCCTAGATTGAATGAGCTACCAAATGGCATATTAATGGGATGTGTTTTGCTGTAAGCGTCTAGAAGGTTTGCCCTGTAGCAAACCCAGTTTTAAGTGACTTAAAGAATTTCAGTTAATGTGAAAAAAAATTAATTTACTGGCTGGAATAATGGATTTTTAGTTTTCTTCTTCACATGGTTCTAGTTAATCTAATAAAATGGATTGAAGTGCTAGGGCATAATCAAACGAGATATTTGGCATGGAGGGAGATAAAAACACTTGCAAGTCATATAGTAGTCTCCACTGCCTAGTGCTATCTGTTTTACTACTTGCCTAGAATCTCTGAGAAAAGCTAGCTAGCAGATAATTATTCTCCTGCCATTTGGAGAGTATGCTAGCATGTTAGGGAATTTTACAGAAGGATTCACAGCCAAAGGGAAGTATCCACATCTGTTGCAGTTATCTCCCATGTCCTAGGTGGAGAACCTCACTTACATGTTTCTTTCACTGTTTTTCAATGCTTCTGAGTCAAACATCTGAAGATAAAAACAAGAGGGAGAGACAAAACCATCTGCAGTTAGGTCTGCACAAACAGCAAATAAGCACAGTATTTTTTCTAGCTGCTCAAAATGTCAGCAGTTTCTGCTTGACTAGAAACTATCTTCCTGACCTGTAATCCATAGCAATGGGAGGTATTGGAATGCTTATGTTTTCCCTCTTGTCCTGTGTTGTATCTCCTTGCACTTGTTCTCTTCTGTTACACAGATTTTTCAGTGAGTCATATTTAATTTTTCTAGCTTTGAAATAAATTAACTGTTTTCTCCCTAACTGTAGGTCCGAGCTGTGTCTAGTGACATTGGCTTCTCTATCGAAGAACTAGAAGAGCTGTATGTAGTGTTCAAGGTAAGAAGCTAGAGTGAGGAAGAATGTGATCTGACAGAGAGAGCAAATACCGAAATAAGTGCAAAGAGAAGCAGTGACTTTGCTTTGATTCTTAATCCAACCTATCAGAAACAGGTGTTGCATTCTGTTATACATGGTGCCAGTGAGACTGGCCTCATTACTGTGTGTTTGATTTCCACCTCCACCCCAAAGATGTCCAAAAGGCTGTCACAGTATTTGAACGATACTTATTCAGAAAGAGATTGTGAAGTCAGTGGGAAGGAATGTCACATAGCACTTGCAACAGGGAGCCAGGATTGGCTGTACCTCAGTTTTTATTCTCAAGTTTGCTATTGACTTGCTCTGTAATTGTGACAAAATGACTTAAGTGCTTTGCCTCTTTTTGTTAGTGTATATATTTTTACAAGAGCGGTACTACCCGACTGCATTTACCAAAGTCACTGCAGACTCAGTTGCACTGTGCTGTAGGCTCAGAAAGAGAGGCTTAGGTTCTAAAACCTGCATGTTCCCTTTGCAGTAAAGCCTGAGTGTCTTTTCATTCAAACCTGAGATCATGTTTTTGTATTTTTCACTTAAAATTGTTCTTTGTGCTTTTTGTGAAATCCTTGTCTCTTCCTTCATTTCATGTTATTTTGTAGTGAAGTAACACTAGGAGTAATGGAGGAGATAAACAGTGTGTCCTGAAATGTCTCTTCTCTGCTTACTCAGTGCTATTCTTGAGCTGTAATGAAGTCTCCATTCCTGTGGATTGTTGTAGTGGAGTATAATCTGACCTGTTAACCCTTTCCCTCCAAAGGCGAAGTATCTGATGAGCTGTTACTGGGGAAATAACCGTGCTGCAGCTGCCCGCCGAGATCAGAGTTTACCCTACCTGGAGCAGTATCGCATAGACATGGAGCAGTTCAAAGAGCTGTTCATCAGTTTGACCCCCTGGTCCTGTGGTGCACATACGCCTGTGCTAGCAGGGCGTTTGTTCCGGCTTCTCGACGAGAACAGGGATTCGCTCATTAACTTCAAGGAATTTGTGACAGGGATGAGTAAGTGGTGGTTTTGGAGATGACGAAATATTGCAAAAACTGTTTCCGTCCTTTTCCAGGCAGAGAACTAAAAGGAGATAGTGATGTTTGCACTGTCGTGAGGGAGGGTGACAGCCTTACAGGAAGCCTCAGGTAGATCCTTTTAGCTGCTGGACAGTCTCCCTTTTGGGGAAGCGATAGGTGGCAAACCAAAAAGATGCAGCTTTGCTGTGGATTTCATTACTGCTTCTGCACAGGGCTTTGTGCAGTGAGCATTTTGTTATTGGGTATGGACTCATTCTGTTTTGAGCCTGTGAGCAGTGCATGATTCTTTATCCTAAATGCTATTTTTCTTAAGCGTTTGTGTTTTTTTTTCTTTGCAGGTGGGATGTACCACGGTGACCTCACTGAAAAACTCAAAGTACTTTACAAACTGCATCTGCCTCCTGGTGAGTGATTACTTTCATAAATTGCCACTACTGAGCATGGTCTGTTCTGACATGCAATTGAAAAGGGATGCCTCATGAATTTTTCTAATGCAGTGGGTGATACTGCTGTTCAATTAGCTTAAAGATCTTAATGTTTCCTTCTCTGTAAATACAGCTCTGAATCCAGAGGAGACAGAGTCTGCTTTGGAGGCCACAAGTTATTTCACAGAGGATGTCACAACAGAAGGTAATACAACACTGCTGCCTTTACCTCTCAGTTTTAGGCAGGAGTTGCACCACAAATCCATGTACTATGAATAGTGATTTTTTGCAAGGCATGGTCTTGTGGTGGCAGTATGTTAAGATTGCCAGTGTATTTGAGTTCACTGTCTTTGTTGCATGATGGGGAAGAAGTTTGGAGCTTAAACTGCTCAGGACCCATTTCATGCAGGACACAGCACCCTCTGAAGCACAGTTACAGACTGCTGAGGAGGAGCAGTGTGCTTTTACCAGCCCCTGTCTCCCACCATGATTTAGGTTTTTCATGCAAGTCTCATTGTCTCTCTTCTTGTTTTTTGTTTCCTTCTCTGTGTCTGTCCGTCTGTCCTTTTCTTCTGTTTTATCTGGGATATTGTCCCCTCAGCCCCTTTTTCTGCTGCTCAAGTATCTCCTTTTGTCTCAGAGCTGGATTTCTGCCTTCAGTGTGAGTCTCAAGGTCAGTCCATGGATTACATGCATGTATTGAGCATGGCTGTAACGCTGGTATCATCTGCCAGCACCAATGTGCTATTTTAAATACTCTGAAGTTGCTGCTGCTGCTCCTCTCTCACTATACTACCACTACGAATAAAGTGCTATAAGTAATTAGATACCTTTCTGTATATTCTACCTATTGTGTTTCAATCTTAGTCAAAATAGGTTTTGTCTGGCTTCTTTCAGTGGAGTTTATCTCACCTTAGAAACTGTCAAGGGGGAAATATGCTGGGAGCAGAGTGTGAGGGTTGCTAGGCTTGCTGGCCTGGATAGATGATACCTCTGCCTCCTTCACAGTCTTCTAATTTAAAGGAATAAGGATGCATGCCATTGAATTCTAAAACTGTTAGTAGACTAATTTACTGTATTTGTTATAATTTTAGGGATTGTCAAATAGGAGGTCAAAGTACGTCGTTTGTGCTCAGTGTTTACCAAGATATAATAATGGTCAAAAAAAATCTGAGTGAGTGATTGTGCTGTTTGGTGCTAGATGGCTAACTTAACAGTCTGACTTGAGCCAAGATTTCCTTTGAAGTCTAGTGACAATGTAGGGAACCAGAAGTGATGTTAGACTCTGCAAGTTGCTCCCAAAGTGTCAGTTCAGTCAGTGAATAATAGTGAGTGTAGATATTAGTCACATAGTGCTCAGTGGTGGTTTGGTTTTTTTCCGTTCATTATCTTGCTTTGGATAACTGAACTTCTTTGTCTTTAAGCCGTCACGTCGCTCAGCTGTCTTTCGTATCTGTGTTTCACCCTTTCTTTTAAGAGTTCTGCCCTCTATCTCAGTTCCTCAGCCCACTTTTTCAGTGTGGCTTTTTATCCAGTTCATCCCATCAGCCTCTTGCTTCCATCCTATTCTGTTCACTCCTCCAAACATGATGAGGGAGAGTGAGATCTAACTTCTGTTAAATATATTCTTGTATGATTTAATTTTTTTTGTGAGTTGTCTTATATTCTTCATGTGTTGTGTTGTTGAAAATCAGCTGTTAATAATTCTTTTATAATTCCATAATTTTTTAGAAACCCAAGAAGATAAAGGAAGGAGAAATGAGAACGGTCCAGAAAAAGGTAGTTTCATCATAAATTGACCACATTCTATTCTAGTCTTGTCTCTCTCCTATTATGAACTGTTCATTGTCCTTTGCTATATCAAAGAGACCTCTCAAAGTGTCCCTTGTGGACAGAGGTAAAGTGGGATGTGAGCTGGGAAATAAATCTTTCTTATGCCTTACTGCTCTGACTCCTTTACATACCAAGATCATAACATTTGTACATCATTTTTGATAAGTTGTCAACTCATAGAGTTAATTTATGAGAAGTCAAGCTGATGCAGCAGTGTTAAAATATTTGCTCTACTGAGACAGATCAGATAAACCGGCAGAAAACAATGCAGCCTTCCTGGTAGATGCTTTCCTGAACTGTCAATAAAACCTGCTTCCAGCATGATTTTTGCTGGCACAGCTTTAAGTCTGAAACCATTAATCACCTGATGGTAGTGGCCTGGTCTTGCCTTGCAGAGGAGAAGGGTACCAGTCCACAGGACTACAGATACTACCTAAGAATGTGGGCCAAGGAGAAAGAGTCTAGGAAAGAAACCATTAAAGATCTCCCCAAAATGAGCCAGGTAAGAAGTGAACATGAAGGTTTCCAGTTATATGACTGACAGCTTACTGGGGAATTCAGCAGTATGTGCAGCTGTTTTGTCAGCACAGTCAGCCCTTGCCTGCACATTGCCTTGCTGTTCTGGTCTGGTGAGCTTTAGAAGCCTATAATTCCACGTTTGTGTTGAATTCCTAAGTGGCCATGGACAAACTGCTTTGTTTCCACCAGTCAAACATACTTGATTTTCTCTGCCTCGCAGACTGATTTTTTCCTAGAGCTACTGCAATCTGTGTTTTCCCTCCAGAGCAGTATGTTTCAAATACGCCATCAGTCACATAAACTTGTTTGGCTTTTTTGGTTTTGCATTGCCTGGAGCTACAGCTACTCGGCGGACAGTGAAGAATGTGGTTACGGGAAAGAGGCTGATGACTGGTGTGATCTTTTCTGTCTTTTAATTTTCTTTATGAGTGCTACTTACACTAGTTTGGAAATGCTTAGAAGCTGACCACAACAGAGTATCGGGACAGAAGTAAAACTTTAGGTTTTCTCAGATGTGAAAATGTGAGTACTCTATTGATTTGTCAGCAAAACACCCACCACTATTAAATTGCTGTACGTGTCTCAGTTCAGCTACTACAGCAGAAGAGTTTGCCTGTGTTGGGCTGTTCTAAATCAGTACAATAAGTTGCCACTTACTTAGTGGGGAGGCAGATAAACAAGGAGTCAGTGAAGATCGTGCCTGTTGCTTTATCTCAAGGAGTGTCTGGGCAGCGCTCTGAGTCATTTGGCTTTGGTTTAGGTAGTCCTGCGAGGAGCAGGGAGTTAGACTCGATGATCCTTATGAGTCCCTTCTAACTTGAGAGATTCTATGATCTGCCACTGTGAAGTTTTTTTCAGCCTGAAGTATGATTTTTTCGTCTTTGTCTTTTAAAGGAACAATTCATAGAGTTATGCAAGACCCTTTACAACATGTTCAGCGAGGACCCGGTGGAGCAAGAGCTGTACCATGCAATTGCTACTGTAGCCAGTCTCCTCCTGCGAATTGGGGAGGTGGGGAAAAAATTCTCCAACAGGCCCATGAGAAAGTCTGAGGACTGCAAAGTAAACAATACCCAAGATCATGTGAGTGAAGAGGAGTCACCAACCTCTGAACAGAGTCAGATTCCAGCAGTGGAGCAGCAACCCCAAGCTGACCATGAGGACAAAACCTGTGGAGATGCTCAGCCTGAAAAAGCACAGCAGGAGAACCAAACTCTAGGAGATGGGTCAGGGGAAGGACAAGCCTCTCCTTTACAGCTGCTATCAGATGATGAAACCAAAGATGATATGTCCATGTCTTCCTACTCCATGGTCAGCACAGGCTCCCTGCAGTGTGAAGACATTGCAGATGACACGGTCCTGGTGGGTTGTGAAGGCAGTAGTTCAGCTGCCAGGTATGGCAGTACCATTGATACTGACTGGTCTATCTCCTTTGAGCAGATCTTAGCTTCCATGCTGACGGAAACAGCCCTTGTAAACTACTTTGAGAAGAAGGTCGACATTCTCCAAAAGATCAAAGATCAGAAGAAGGTAGAGAGGCAGTTCAGTTCATCCAGTGACTATGAACTTTCCTCTGTGTCAGGGTGAACTCAAGAAAGCAGGAATTGTCTTTTGGAGATATAACAGGGAGATAATGTGGCAGGTGGCAGGATGTATTTTGTGTTTGTTTTTTTTTTTTGTTTAATCAGAGACCAGTAACTACACAATTACAATAGATTCCAGTTGATAAGGGGCTTCTGACAGCTACTGTTTTGTGTAGGTGCTTCTTTGGCTACTCTGGCTGACAAAATTAGATTTACGTTCTCAAGAGCCATTAGAACCTAATAGCCCCTGACATACAGAATTACCACCATAAATGATGCATGTCTGCCTTTTGCTCTCTTTTATTTTCATGAAGTTTTATTTCAGACAGTAACTGCTCCTTGCCTGGCCTTCTTTGCTGTAGGCTCCTGGGTAACTTGCACAGCAGATGCAGCCTGGCTTGAAACCGTGTTCACCTCTGGCTGCCAGTTGGAGACCTAACGCAGTATAGTCAAGTCTGTAGGACCCTGACCTATAAATAGTCTTGTAAGTTCTTCAGTGCTGTTCTGTGACTCAGCAGCTGTAATGCGAATGTGTCCCAGTGCTCCCAGCACCCTAAGGTCTAAACACAGGCATTTCTCAGATCTGCAGGTTTCTTCGAGATGCGATTTGCCATTTTCATAGCGTATCGTCACTTAACTTGCTCCTTCAGCATTTAGGAATTTTCAGACAAACCTGTTTTTCTAGCATTTGCCTTTCTAATTCTTTGAAAGCCATTGGGTTTCGTTTGTCTGGGAAGCCACAAGCTCCTTGAGTTCAGTGCAGAAGTAATATCAAGTTAATCAATGGGCTCATGATGGTTTTAATGAGGAAATATGTTTCTAAATTAGAAGGCAGTGAACCAGCCTCAGCATTGCAGGGCAGTGGCACGTGAGTCTGCTGGATTTTCCCCATCAGTACAGAAAACATTAATTGTTTCTTGCTAGTTCTCCCTTTTTACTAGCTATTGATGGGTCCAAATTTTAGGAGGACCCCTAAGAATACTCCGAGTCAGCCCTCACAAACACTTGAAGGGGCAGGAGGAGTGTTGTGCCACCTGCAGCTGTCCTTTCTGAACATGGCTTGTGCAGAGTTTAGCGATGGATGTGCTTTTAGAAACTACTACACGTCCAAGGGCATTTATACCTAAAGAGGAAGAATTCAAAGCAGCATGGCCCTCTGCCGTCAGCCCGTTATGGGAAACCTCAATAGACTAGATCTCTTTCCAGTTAGAGATGAAACAACTGGGAGACTGAGTGACTACTCTTTTAAATCAATTAAGACCAGAGGAAACTAAGAGTTAGCCTTCTGGTTGTAGGGCATCTGCTCCAAGGAAGGAGAGTTAGTGCTGTTCCTACAGATCAATTCATCTCGCTGCGCAGGCGTCCGCCTTGCGGGAGCAGAGCAAGAGGTGCTGCCGCTGGGCAAGAGCAGCCCCTGCACTGCAGGCAACGTTTGCGACGGCTTTTGGCTGGTGTTTGGAGTAAACGGGATGGGAAAGACATGTACGGTTGGCTGTTCCCATTTAACACTACTCGGTGTGCTACTCAGTGTTAACTCCTCCGTGTGACGTTCTGTGTATTCACAGCTGGTACATATTTCTTATTTCTCTGCCTCCTCTGTCCTGTGTCACTGGAGAGCAGCCATTAGGAAACCTGCTTTTACTAATTATTCAGTAATTTATTGTAATTTTTTTAAAGTACAAATACTACCTGTGATTTTACACCATCTGTCTGTCTTATCCGTCATGTACTCAATAAACGAACCAGAATCCTATAGACTGCCCCGACTGCCTTTTATTTCTCTGAGCTCATGGAATATGGCTTGTTCTTTGTCCATGGGGGTGACCTAAAAGAGTGGGGGCTTGGTGTGACTGGAGTCTGACTTTTTTTATCCCTTTCGTCCTTTTTTTCTTTTTCTCCCTTTTAAGCTCTTCTCTCGCCCTCGCCTCTTTATTTTTCCTTTTTTTTTCTTTTAAATTATTCTCAATATTTACTTTTTATGTAACACAGCCTGATGCAGCTCCAGGTAGGTGCAGACATCACTGTTGATGATGAAAACACAAAATGTTTTTCCTCTTGAAAGAAGGTGACTTTCATTAAATAAACACACCCGAGCGAGGCAAGGCGCTGCGTTACATCTGCCCGTTTGAAGGCAGCTCGGGCCAGCTCATTGATTTTTTTTTTTTTAATTTTATTTTT